AAAAGCTTGCTTGGACTACAGATATTCATTTGGACCACATGGAATTACTCGAGTCCTAGGATAGACCACAGAAGTATATTTGGACCACATAGATTTACTAGGACAAATAAAATTTGACATAAGTCAATATAAATACGGTATAAACCGTAGAAGTTTTCTCGTACTACAGGAATATATTTAAAACAGACGGATTGCCTTAAACCAACAAGATTTACGTCAAAAAGGATTGACTTAGACCACAGATTTTTACTAAGACCATAAAGATTAATCTAGACCACAGATGTTGTAAAACATAATACATTTCAAACTACAAATATTTATTTAGCTCATACACCACAGAAATTTAGTAAGACCAGCATTTTACTAAGACCACGCCTTTTTGCCAGGACCACTGTTGGACCACTCACCGTATCATACCAGAATCGATATTCCTCCTAATAGTAGTGAGGTCCATGGGCCTCTTCACCACCACGCTGTACCCTGGAGCTTCCTCATCAGATATGGGCCGGAGGAACAATGACGCGTATTTATGTGCACATAACCTATAAATATTAAGAACATTACACTAGCTGTTGCCCGCGACTGTACGCGTATTTAAATTTAAGTGTGTTCTTCGAGAATATCCTTTATATCTATGGCAATCGAAATCCGTTCAGTTTAGGATACAAAGTATAACATCCATCCATCCATCCATCCAAACTTTCGCATTTTTTAATATTAGTTTAATAATGAGGCAAATCTGTGATATTTGAATTATAATAAAAAAACACATTTTTTGGGTCTACAATTTCTCATTTCAATAGTATTTCGAATAAATAATGCCTTTAACAGACAGGGGAGGGGACAAAAAGGACAAATCTGTAGAAACAATAAAAGTGCCCTACCAAGTCGGGTAAAACCTCACCTGCTATAAACTAACATAACACTCTTCTTCCACAAGCGATGTTGTTTCTCAGCGTCGCTTGCGCTTGGGGAGTCAGGAGCGCTCGCCTCCGCCGCGCTCTCTGACCCTGAACATGCTAGAAGATACACAGAATATATACAGAAGATATATAGAAGATACACATGAGATACGTAGAAGATATACGGAATTTACGTAGAAGATACACAAAAGATATGTAGAAGATACACAGAAGGTATACAGAAGATGTGTAGAAGAAACACATGAGATACGTAGAAAATATACGGAAGATATGTAGAAGATACACAGAAGATTTACAGGAGATATGTAGAAGATACACATGAGATACGTAGAAGATATACGGAAGATATGTTGAAGATACACAGAAGGTATACAGAAGATGTGTAGAAGATACACAGAAGATATACTTTGATGAAGAACAGAATAGATATACGTGACAGAATACACAGGAATAGCATAAAAAGAAAACAGAAAATAAATGATACATAAATGAATAATAGATTATACAAATATACAAAAGATATACATAGAATATACATTTTTCTGTATATTTTGATATACAGAACAAAGTAGATAGATAGAAGATACGAATATAATGCAAAGAAGAAACTTAACATATGATACAGAATATACACAGAAGATATGTAGAAGATAAATATTATGCGGAATTTACTAATTCGTAAGGAACTTAATTTTTTGAAATTGAATATTAAATTAAAAAAAACCATGTTTATTCCATTTTGAACTGATAAATAAAAAAGGGAAAATGTATATTAAAGTAAAAAATAAAATAAAAAAATAAAAAATTTTAATTTTTTAAAAATGGTTAAATATTTTCTAAAATTATTTTAATATATGATAGTATTTCCACTTACTTCTGGATTCAGATTTCTTCTTTCTAGAATAATCTCTTTTCTTTTTACCATCTTTTTCTTCTTCACGACTTAGCTGGAAGAATAGCATAGTTTTATTGTATAATATTGTATTGGCACGTGAATAACAAGAGTGCCCTACTGTTTGGGGTGCCAACTGGCATCGGGCACATTTACCCTACTAGTAGGGCAAAATCTCACCTCCATTGGCGTATCATCATCCGTCTCTGTATGCGTATCTTCTGTATCTAGAGGACGGCTTAATTCTTCTGTCTTCTCTTCTATACATTCTTCTTTAATCATTTCTTTTAATGGTATGGAGTCCTGAAAATTTACATAGAAAAGTCTATTTGCTGAAAGTCTAACCGCACTCAGAATGATTAAGTGAGTAATTAGGGTTCTCTTAGGATTTTAAAACTACTTTAATTACCAATGATCGAAGTATATAAATTACTTAGTGACATTTAAGTTGCAATTAAGACTCTGAGTACAAAAATCAATGTTTAAACGGTTTTATAATAAATTTATTTAAAAAATTTAAAACTTACTTCTGCGTCTTCGTCCACTTTAACGTCCTCTATCTTCTCTTCTGTGATTAATTCTGTTTCCTTCTCTTCAGGTTGGGTAACTTCTTTATCTTCTGGGACATTCTCTTCTACTATTGTTTCTTGTGGAGTTTCTATCAATTCTTCTTTCACTGTCGTTTCTGAGGATTAGGAAACATTAAGTTTGCTTTTTTCTACCAAAAACGTAGTCTTTAAACAAAACTACTTGTAGCAATAAAACTACCGTAGTACGAATTGCACTACTCTAGTCCCCTAGTGTACATTTGTAAGGTGAAATTTACAATTAAAATCTCCCTTAACGACTTTGAAAAAATAGTTTTAAAAATAAATATAATTTGAGACTCCTTAACAAATAAACTACAACGAGACACTAGTAATTAAAAATAATTGAGGGTAAATTTAGGGAAGAGAAAGTACTACAAAAAACTACTCTTAGGGACTACCTTAAAACTATTAAACTTTTCTACATAAGTGTGACATTAGACTTTCTCTAAGGGAGTCCCTTAGCAACTTGGCAACCATTGATTCTGAAAATTTAAAGGATATTGCAACAAAACTACTCTTATAGACTCCGTTAGAGTAGATTACACTATTAAACTACTTTAGAGGGTTATAATAGCTGTTGTTTGCGACTTCGTCTGCGTAAAATTATTAAAAAATATACCCTATTACTGGTAATATAGCTTTTTAATGGTGAAAGAATTTTTGAAATTGACCCAGTAGTTTTTGAGTTATTTGAATACATACTTAAATACATTTCTTTTCTTTATATTATTATAGATTACCTGGTATAATATTTTCTTCTGTAGTTTCTTTTTCAGGAGGTAATGGTATTTCTTCTGCTTTAATAACATTCGTTTGTAATTCTTCTATCGATTCTTTTACTTCTTCTATCTCTTCTTGGACTTCTACTCTCTCTTCTGTTATTGTTTCTGTGGGAGTTTCGACGCTGGAAAGATTTTAAAAAGTAATCAATTGAATTATATGTTATATATAAGTTTGCTTTTGCCCGCGATTCTGTCTGTATGGGATTTAATAAAAAAGTAAGTAGCTTATATATACAAACAATAACATCCATCCATACATCCAAACTTTTACATTTATAATTTTGTAAATATTAGTACCAGCTGTTGCTCGCGACTTCCGCCGAGTGAAGTTAAAAAATAGCCTTTCTTATTCAGCGATAACATAACTTTTAATGGTGCAGAATTTTTGAAATCGTCCCAGTAGTTTTTGAGTTATTTCAATACATACAAAAATACAAATCTTTTTTTATTATATGCTATTTTCTTATTTGTTTCAAATAGAGGATTTTTCCTTGCCTCTCTTCTATTTCTTGTGTAGTTACTTCTTCTATTTGAACTTCTTCCACTTCTACAGTCTTCTCTTCTACGTTCTCTTTCTCCGGTTCCGTTTCTTCTGTTTCTGTTTCTTGTATTTCTTCTTTGATCTAGGAATTTAATCGTAATTTAGAATTGTCTAGATTATTGGTAGATTTTTGTTAATATATACTATTTTAATAAAAGGTAAGAACACTAAAAAACTACTTAGGACAATGCTTTTTAAAAAAAAAATCAAAAATATGCTGTGTACATTGTCAATCACAGCATATTTTTTAAATAATCAATTTTTTTAAAAAGCATTTTGTTGTCCTAAATAGTTTTTTAGTTTGTTAATGTATGTTCTAATTGAACTATGCTTTTTACTCTTTGTATATTTTGCTGTAATTTTTGTATCGGTCACTTTTTTTGTACTTCAAGCTATTGGCTAAGTATTTTACTAGATTCCCACATTTTTGAACAAAAACTCCTACATTTATGACATGCTATAAGATATATATTCACGCTATTAAACTTAGAGGGTGAGTATTAGTAAAATGCTGTATTCCTTGAGCATTTTTTACTTATCAGTTTTTTTCCTTCTGGACAAAAAAAAATTAGCAGATTAGAGCAATCTGCTCTAGCCCTTGCACAAATCTAGTAATAACTTAATTTTAGCTTCCTGTATTATTTGTTCAAATATATTAAATACGTAAAATAACAAACTTTACCGCATTATCTTCAGGTTGAATCACTTTTATCTCCGGAGTTGGAAATTTTACTTCAGGAAACGTAATTTTTAGATCCGCATTCTGTACTTCTGTTGGACTTTCTTCTATCACTTCTTCTTGCTAGATTTTATAATCATTTTAATTATATGAGAATATTAATATTATACAGTGGAATGTATGTAAGTATTGAACAAACTCAAAAACTACTGGGATTGTTTCAAACAATTAAAATTTGCCCAGTAGTTTTTGAGTTATTTAAATACATACAAATATACAAATCTTTTCTTTTTATAATTTTAGTATAGACAAGTTGCGCTTAACCCCATATATTTGTATCTCTTCTACATGAGAATAATATTTACCTTGCTAAATACTTATAAATATATTCTATATCAGTTAGAGATAATATATCTCTCTTATAATGAGAGAGTTTTTCAAAAAACTCCAGTAGTTTTTGAGTTTATACGTTACAAACAATGCATTTTTACAATATTAAAATAAATACATACAGTTTCCTCTTGTTCAACAATATTTTCCTCCGTATCGACAACCATTGGCTCCTCCTGAAATAAATAAAATACAATACAAATTAAAATAAATAACAAGCTCTAACATCCATACATCCAAACTTTAGTATGTATAATATTAGTAAAATTTACCTTTATTTCTACATCTTGCGTGGACTCAACATTAGTTATTTCAGTAGCTTTTTCTTCTTCCTTCTTATATACGGGCTTCTCTATTCTGAAAAAAGAAACATTTTTTACTAAAGAACTTCTTCCCTGTCTACAAGCTTCGTTCCTGTCTACTAACCAAATCTTTGTCTACTATCTACGTTCCTGTTTCTGAGCTACGCTCCTGTCTACAAACTATGTATATGTCTACAAACTTCATTACTGTCTATTTGCTACGTTCCTGTCTACTAACCACATCTTTGTCTACTACCTACGTTCCTGTTTTTGAGCTACGCTCCTGTCTACAAACTATGTATCTGTCTATGAGCTACGTTACTGTCTATTATCTACGTTACTGTCTACTTGCTACGTTCCTGTCTACTAGCCATATCTTGGTCTACTACCTACGTTCTTGTTTAAGTTTCTGCTGACAGACTTCGTTCCAGTGTACAAGCTACGTTTCTGTAACGAGCTAAGTTAATTGTCTACTAGCTACGTTGCTGACTACTAGCTACGTTCCTATCTACAAGCTATAGTACTGTCTACTAGCTACGTTCTTGTCTACTAGCTACGTTCCTGTCTACTAGCTACGTTGCTGTCTACTGACAGACAATTATATTGTATAATATATTGTATATGTCTGTTTTATGCTTTGTCTCAATTTGTATTAAATCTTAAACCTGTTGCTTAAAGTGTGACCGTCAAGTTCCCCAACTGTACCTTCCCAAACCACAGATGTAAACTCACCTAGCAGCAGTCTTGTGCATAGAGGTGACAGGCGGTATGTGTATGTCTATGTCTCTGAACGCGTATACGTCTTCAGCTTTGATCTCTATATCGTCTATGTCCACTGCGGGGGCGGGGGTGAGCACTGGGGATGGGGTTGATGTACCCGCTGCAAATTACATTGATGCGAAAATTCAGATATATGTATGGATGTTAAGGGAAGAAAATACCCTATTTGTGGTTGAAAATCGTCTTACTAAAAATCGATGGATGGATGTTAGTTGGAATCTCTAAAACGACTAAACGGATTTTTTTTAAATGTCATGGATATAGTCTGGAAGAACACATATTTACTAAGAATTTAATTCCATTAAAGTCGCTAAAGATATTTAAAAGCCCATTAAAACTATCTTACTAATATTATATATGTGAAAGTTTAGATGGCTGTTTGTTAGAGTTTGTAGCCTAAACTGCTGATCGGATTTCGATGAAATTTGGTATAGATGTAGAGGATAGCCTGGAAAAACACATAGGCTACTCATTTCCCTTTTTTTTAATTCCGCGCGGACTGAGTCGCGGGCGAAAGCTAGTTATATTACAATAACATAATTTAAATCAAAGGGGTGAAAGAGGTATTAACCTCCTCCTAGATGATCTAAAAATGAGGACCTAAAACCTAGCCTAGATCAATTGGCAATGCCCATAAAGATACCTTACTTCAATTGACCTACTAACATAAAGACTACAATTTTAAATCAGCGCCATCTAGTTTTAAGGTTAGTATTCGTCAATTTGTAACAGCGCCATCTAGTTGTAGAATTAGTATTCGAAAATTTGTAAAAACGCCATCTAGTTTACCTTTCAGTTGTTGTTCTATTTGCACCAGCTGACTTTTGATATGTTCTATGGCTGCGTGCTTACTCTCTTGAGGACTGGAGCCACCTTGAGGCTTTTCTAACAACATCGACAGTGTGGGAGCACCCGCTGAAGGGGATATCGTATCTATGGACATATTTTTTTATGTATTATAATGTGGCAAGCGACCAAGCTGCTGTTCGCCGAAATGGCGAAACGACTGCCCACAGACATCCGCAATTGCGGATGCGTTGCCTACCCTTGATTGACGGAGACGCACATAAAGAGGATATTTTCCCATCCTATAAGTCTCCTCATCAAATCCACTTTTCCTTTCCATCTTTTCCTCTCAAGCGAAAGGGTGGAAAGGGAAAGGAACTAAAACTAGGCCTCCGGCATACTCATCAGAGTGTACGCAGATTTGCCCACTTCACGCCTATCTTTTTTTTATATCATAAGGAGGCAAACGAGCAAGCGGCCTGAATTCGCCATAATGGCGAAGCGACTGCCCATAGACATCCGCAATTGCAGATGCGTTGCCTACCCTCATACAACGGAGGAGGAGACGCAAAAAAAGAGGATATTTCCCCTTCATATGCATCTCCTTCACCGTCAAATCCACTTCCCCTTTCCATCCTCTCCATATAAGAAAAGGGTGGTAAAGAGAAAGATAATTAAATGAGGCCTCAGGCACCACACTCATCAGACTGTACACGGAATTGCTTCCACTTCACGCCTGTCTATGCGGTCGTGGTATTGGCGAGCCCTGCAGTGCTAAGATGTTTAAGCGGGCACCACCACTGTTAGTCTTATGTGGTCGTGGTATTGCATGCGTATTGATTTTTAGTTGTGAAACGAAACGGTTGAATTGGCTGCGAGACAATGGACAATCGCACAACCGTTATGCGATAGTTTAGTCAAAGGTCTACACTAACAATACGAAGATATAAACCATTACTATTATAAGTGTTTGTGTTCGTGACGCAGAATAATGACTTACTAAAACTAAATTGTTTTGGAAAATAACATGAAATCAAAATGGAAAAACCATTATATCAGATATCAAATTCAAATCTTACTATTATTATAAATGCGAAAGTTTAGATGGATGGATGTTTGTAGCCTAAACTGGTGAACAGATCTCGATGAAATTTGGCGTAGACATAGATAATAGCCTGAAAAAACACATAGTACTACTACCGTTATTGAGGGTACCGGTGCGTTCCACAGGAGATCCCGGGACCCTCAATTCGCACCTGAGGGCGGCCATCGAGGGGGTTTTTAGTGAGTAGAAATCTCACATAACCCTGTTTTTTTACAAAAGACAGGGTATATTTCGAAGATTTCCCCCCCGTTACCAAAAAAACAGGCTACTGGCTTTTAGTTTTTTTTAATTCCACGCGGACGTAGTCGCGGGCGAAAGCTAATCAATATATATTTGTGATCTGCTATAGCTTGTAATTAGCCTTCGGTTTTGTTTGTTTTAATATTTTTATAAGTTACCCATAATAAATTAAAATCAAGAGCGTCGGTGGCTCAGTGGTTTGAATACTTGACTTGTAATCTACAGGTCTTGGGTTCGAATCCCGCCGTACCAATGTGATTTTGAAATTTCATATGCACATAGTTTACCCGACGTTCTTACAGTGAAGGAAAACATCGTGCTGCCTGCACATATCTGTGAAGAAATTCAAAGATATGTGTGAAGTCAACCCGCAGTGCAGCGTGGTTGACTATGGCCTAGTCACCCTTGTATTAGGGTAGGCCCCGAGCCCCTCGGTGGGGACGTATAGTGAGCTGGTAATGATGATGCTGATGATGAATAAATTAAATTCATGAAATGTCAATAAATAATTAAAATTGCAAAATTTTCTTCCGATCTCAATTTTTTAAATAATCATTAAGTATCAATTAACTGTCTCTGAGTAACACTTATGTACATACCGACAGTATTAGCTGGATGTGACATATGCTGTGGTATTGTCACCACCGGTGATGACTTCAGCAGCGAAGTTAGTAACGGTGATGAAGGTTGGACGGGGGAACCTAAATTATATTTAAAAACCAAAATATATAAAATAAAAAAAAAACACAAAAAACTGGGCAATTTAAAGAAATCAAGCAAAATATATTAAAAAGAGCAAAGTAATTTAAAAAAAAACTACTAATTAATAAAAAAAAGACATAAAAAAACTGGACAATTTAAAGAAATAAAGCAAAATATATTAAAAATAGTGGAGTAATTTAAAAAAAAATTAATTATTTATAAAAACAACACAAAAAACTGGACAATTTAAAGAAATCAAGCAAATTATAATAAAAAAAAATAGAAAAGTAATTTTAAAAAAAACTAATACATTTAAAGCAAAAATAGTCTAAAATCTTAGGTGAGTAATATTCAATTTTGTCCACGAAATAATATAAAAAAATCACACATGATACTGATATTTGCAACACTAAATATTAAAAACGTTTAAAAAAAAATTATAAAAAACCTAAGTTTACAAAAAAAACTTAGAACCGGATGACAGGAATCGAACCCATAAATAATTCCATATGGCTAGACCTATCTTTCCTGAAGTAGGCGCTAGACGCCTAGAGGGTGGTAAATGGCCCCAGAGGGTGGTAAATGGCCCAAAGGGTAGAAAAAGGCCCACATGGTGGTAAAAGGCCCAGAGGGTGGTAAAAAGCCCAGAGGATGGTAAAAGGTCCAGAGGTTGGTAAAAAGCCCAGAGGGTTGTAAAAAGCCCAGAGGGTGGTAAAAAGACCCAGTGGGCGGTAAAATGTCCAGAGGTTGGTAAATAGCCCAGAGGGTGGTAAAAGGCCCAGAAGGTGTTCAAAGGCTCCGGAAAAAATTAGAGAGGCGCTGCTTATAGTTAATTTTGAATAAAACATACTCTGTAGTCTGTAAATGCAAAATAAAAAATTCAGGGCAAAAAAATGTGGGTGCTAAAAAAATTTATATTAAAAATGGCTTTGGGAACCTGTGGCACTTCCACATACCTGATCCCGGCGATTGTTGACCTGGTCTCCAAGCCCTTTCAGCTCTGTTCCGTCTTTCCTCTCTTTCCTTCAACAGTGCGAGCCGTCTAGCATTCTCTCGCTCTCTCGCACGCTTCTCCGCTTCTGTCGCATTCCATAACTCATGTACTCTTTCATCTGACGTTGTCGGATCTGAGAGTTCGGTTATTTCTTTCTGTAAAATAAAAATATAACACTCTAAATAACTAGCTGTTGCTCGCGACTTCGTCCGTGTATTAAATAATTGTAAAAACATAGGCTATGTAGTAATAATATAATTTTTTAACACTTGGCATGCGGGTCTGTCTCTGGAGCGCGGGTGACGTAAAAATACGTATTCAGAACGTTCTTTCCAAATAATATAGCAGTTTTCGATTCACTGCGTTATATCTGGTGAACGAAACATCCCCGGAATCTACTAAAACAATAAACATCACCCGCTGCACTTGTAATTCAGCGCAAGTATTCTCCTCATCATCATCATCCACTTGCCCTTATCCCTTATGGAGGGTCGGCACAGTATGTGCTGCTCTTCCATACATCTCTATCAGCCGTCATATCTGAATCCACTCCTTTCTTAAGCATATCCTCTTTCACACAATCCATCCATACTTTCTTCGGTCTTCCTCTTCCTTTGTAGCCATCCACATTCAATCTCAACACTTTCTGGTTTATGTCCACATCATTTCGTCAAACAAGTATTCTCCGCATGTCAAGTGTTAATAGTGCAAGAATGTTGTAACAGAGGCCATTTTAACGGAAGCGGATACGAACGCGAAGGACTTCACCTTTGCAGAAGCGAAGGTTAACGGAACCGGAAGCGGAGGTCAATAATAAAAAATTAATTTCTAATTACTAAAAAAAAAAACTAAGACTATGTTAATTCAAAATACAGATTGGTACATAATTACAAGATACAGTTTATTATGCAAATATATTGTATAACAATTATTGATAGTTGACATATCACACCCGCGCGGGCCTCATAACGGATGCCTTATGGCCCCACTCGGTTAAACACGTAAATTAACGTCCGTTGTAACTCTGCATAAAAAATAATAATAATATAGCCGTATCACGATCTACTGGGACCGATCTATTATTACGGACAGGACTATTGCTGCCAATAGACCTGATATAGTAATAATAGATCGGTCTGAGAGTTGTGTAATGTTAGTCGATGTCACTATCCCACATGGCGAGAATCTCGTGAAAGCCGAAAATGAAAAACTATTAAAATATTTGGATTTGGCTCACGAGATTACCGCCATGTGGCGTATGAAATCGACTACCATTATTCCGATAGTCGTTTCGGTACACGGGCTGATAGCGAAGAGCTTCGACCAACACCTCAAAAAGCTCTCGCTAGACAGTTGGATTAAGGGCCCGATTCAAAAGGCAGTTATTTTAGAAACCGCACGACTAGTAAGGAGGTTCCTGTCTCTGCACTGACCACTGGTTGCTTGAGTCATCGGATTCCGCAGCCGGTGGACTTCTATTTTTCTATATAATATGTTTTATTTTGTTATTTTTTTTTAAAGAAAATCATGTGAAATATATTATATATAAAAATAAGAAAATAAAGATATGAGAATAATAATAATAATAATCATTTAATCTAATAAATAATAACGTTAGCGGATGCGGAGTTATTATTACTTGCGGAAGTTCCGCACTTGCAGATGCGGAAGCGGAGTTCCATTACAACCCTAGTTTCAATACATACAAAAATACTCTTTACTAAATTACCATAGATAAGTTACCTGTGTTTGTTCATACTGCTGTGTGAGTTCTGCAATAACTTTGTGTATCTCCGTAATCCGTTCCTGTGTGAGTCGTTTAAGAATGCTCTCCTGTGGGGTCTCCACCGCACCTTCTGAACTTCTCTTCTTGCGCTTTGGAGTCTCAACATGTTCTAATAGTGCTCCATATTGTGCTGCACAACTGAGGAATAAAGGAAATGTTAATTTAATTTGATATCTTACTAATATCTCCCTCCTCCTTAAACCCCGATAACTTAAACCTTGGTAACATAAAAACCTCTATAACTTCAATAAATAATATATTCCCTTCCCATCAGAGCCTCCCTTAGACAGAGTTTCCCTTGGACTTTAACTTACCGAGGTTCTTCTGTATTATGAATGAAAAAGTTTCAATGTATGGATGCCTGTTAGAGTTTGTATCCTACTGAACAGATCTCCGTGAAATTTGGCATAAATGTTGATCTGTATGGAAGAACATTTATACTTCGTAATGATTTTTTAAATTCCCAAAGACTAAAAGTCTGGATGTCGCAAATTCTGAAAAAAACTAAATATAATTTAAATTCGAAATATAAAGATTCAATTACCTTTTCTGTGAATACCAATCAGGGGGTCTATTCGGCTCGCCTACAGTCTTCAACGCGCGAGAAACAGACATCCAGTTTTGATCACCACTCCTAACCACGGCTGAAGCTAGACATAGCTGTTCTCTCGTATTCCACGTATCTAACGGCACTCGCTTTAATTGTAACCTTTCTTGTAGCGAACTCATACTTTTATTTTAAAAATCATAAATATTTCCTTATTACGGTTTTTGTAAACAATTTTGTTTGACAATTAATGACTTTGACATGTTAAAGTCAAATGTCAAAGATTAAGTTGAAGTTTGGAAGTCTTAGTGAAATCAAAGAGCATGTAACCTATACCAGTGTTATAATGAAAAAAGACTCGACCGATGGACCGATTCCAAAAATCCGTTTACCATTAAAACAACAATTTCTTGAACTCAAAATATCTTTATTTGTTATTAAAGAATGATCTCAAAACGCTCGACAGATTCATCAAGTTGTTGCACGGCTTCTAAATCTGTTTTTCTTGGTGCCTTTGTTTTTTCTTTATTCCGTAATATTTTTGAATCTGGTTTCTCCGGAAGCGGATCTCTTACTTCTTTGTTTCGTTTGGGCATAGAATTTTGCCCTTTTTTCGATTTAATTAGAAACTGATCCCAAAGTTGATCTGATAAAGATTTAACAAGACTATTTGAGAAAAGATCTAGTGCCTTATTAATTGCATTTGTTTTTATTTCATTTTTTAATGCTAAGTCCTCATCATCTTCTATAGTTTTATTTATCGGTTTTTCGATAATATTGTTTTTCTTAACAAGTCGACGTTCAGATGTTGAAGTTTTAGTAGTTGTCAATTTTCTTTTACTTTTTTTCGAGTTTGTTTGAAGCACTACTTTTTTTGTTGTACTTGTTTTAACTTTTAACTTTTTCTTGGACTTCTTTTTGTCTGTTATTTTTTCTTTTGTCTTTGTTGCAACTGTAAACTTTTTCTTTGTATTTGTTTTAAATGTCGACACCACCGTCGTCGGGTTCGTAGAAAATGTTAATGTGCTCGATGTATACATTTTAATTAATTTTTTCTTCCCATTTTTACCTTTCGTAGATTGTAAATACGCTGATCTAAATTTACCCGTTTTCGATTGCTCTGAAGTTAATTCTGGAGTATAAACAATGATAATATAAGTAATTCAAACAGCAGCGTTTTGTAGAAAAAAGATATGAAACTTTTTATTTTTAAATTAAAAAACCACTATTTTACCTTCAGATTCTGTACTGCTACGCTGATTAGTGGCTCGATGATGCATTACTTTTAAATTACTCCGTTGATAATTAGAGATTTCAAAATCATTTAAACCATTACCATCAAAATCGGTACTTCGAAGATTGTTTATTTTTAAACGTGCCCCTTGTACGGTCACATCTTTATCTAAAAAAATTAAAAAAAGATAAAATCTCTATTAAAATTCATAATTAACTACGAAAGTAATTATAAATACTTACACGTATAAACGAAAATATAGAAAAGGGCGCTAAAATAAGAAAGTTTTACACGAAATCCCGACGCAACGACCATATTCAACTATGTTACACTATTTTAAAACGAAATTAAAATTAAAGATAGAATTTAATACACCAATAAAGTATTTAATTACATTACGTACTTAATAAACTTGTTAAACGGGGGGCGACGGTTTTATTATAGGCTCGTTTTATTAGAATTCTTGAAGCAACCTATTTTATAAACTTTCTTAATTCAAATCGAAAATGATGAAATTCCAAAAGCTAAAAGCTCAAGATGTACTAAAATGTAATAAGAGGAAATAATTGTATTTTTGAATGTATTGAAATAACTCAAAAACTACTGGACCAATGTAAAAATTCTTTCACCGTTAGAAACGTAATTTATCTGTGAGCAACATAGGCCATATTTTTTTTAATTTCGAGCGTACAAAGTCGCGAGCAATAGCCAGTTTCAATTTTTTTAAATGTAAATAATTCTGCTCCTTTTTGATTTTTAAGCATTAAAAACTTGGCAATACTAATTCGGGGAATCTCCCAGTAATCTGGGGTAATAAAGTGGCAATCGTGACTATTTGTAATCTCGATTTTACCGTAATTTGATTGCATGATAAATGTTTTCTATCAAAAAGCATATCGTATCTATAGTTTAAAAAATCAATTACAATTTCAGGATGCGCGCGATGCCTTCGTCCATCGTTCATTTTGTAAACGTTAAAAAGATACATACGTTCTGAAAAGTGAATTTAAAAATCAATAGGTGACAGTACATTGGGCAGTGAATTTGAATTTTTATTTTAGTTTTCTACCTTGTTTAATGCAATTTGTAATCGTAAGTATGAGTTCTACGGTTTGAATCGTTAAAATTATGGATTCTTTTGTTATATCTAGCTTGCTTTTGTTCTCTGTTTTATCGTTAAGTTGCTGTGGTTGATATTGATAATGTATTCTCAACAATCCTCTTCCCCCCGGACCGCCGTCAGGTGTAAACGTCTAATTAGTGTGTGTCGATTTTTATCAATTCTTATATAAATTTAAATTAGTTTATTGCAGTCAAAATAATAGGAGTGCATAAAAGTGCGGAGTTTACTCGATACTAAAAAAGTGCCTGCCTGGACTTATGCGACCCTGGTACCGTGAGTGAAAGACCATCTCTCTCATTCATACTACAACCATCATTACGAGGATCCGCCCACGTCGTCGTCAATTGGTCGACCCTATTAAATGTAAACCAGAGCGCTTTTGTTTACGGAAGACCACTAAGAAGCGCATACGCACTCAGCCACGCCCCTAATGTAAAGACACTTACACACGATCTTATAGAGAAAAAAAAAAAAAAAAATTAACTAGAATTTTTAATTGAAATGGAAGTAAACACCATGAATAAATCGCAATCGGAATCAGACATTAACACAATCAATATGACAGAAACCATCCCGCAGATGTCAATGATTACAGCGCGCGGCAAACGCAGAAGAGCAAATGAAGACCTCAGTGTCGAATTAAGCTGTTTTAAAGAGGAGATGAGAGAACTTATTATCTCCAGAACAACTTCACAAGAGCAGGAGCTAAAAAAGATAGTCCCAACCCTAATAGAAATTCAGCAGTCAAATCGGAATATTGAAAACTCAATAGCTTTTCTCACAGCACAGAATGAGGAATACAAGAAAAAAATTGAGAAGCTAGAACAACAAGCGCTAGAAGATAAAAAATATGTTACTCTTCTGGAAGACAAGATTGAAGATCTACAGAAAGGAATGAGGAAAACTTGCTTTGAGGTAAAGAATGTGCCCAGGAAGGAAAATGAAACAAAAGAAGATCTAATTGATTTGATAACGTGCTTAACAAAAAACATTGGATGTGAAGTTAATAAAAAGGATATAAAGGACATTTACAGAGTTCGTGGGAAAAAGGAAGGAGG